TGGTCGTTGACCCGGTGACGAATTGATGTTGATGATGGTTAGCGTCGGGAGTGTCATGGCGGATAGGTGGGAGGTGTCATGGCGGATAGGTGGGCGGTGTCATGGCGGATAGGTGGGCGGTGTCATGGCGGATAGGTGGGCGGTGCAGGCAGCATAGATGGCGTGTCCATGGCGAGCATGCGCGCAAGTGAAGTGTCATGGGCGGAGAAGAACGAGAAATAATTTAATTCCTCCTCTGGCACAGCACGAGCCGAGCTTATACAATGAAAGAGGTCAGCGGGTGGCAAGGGAAGCCTTGGAATATGTACGCGCAACCTCCTACTCTCACTGCTACAAGCAGCGGTAAGCATTTCTCGTTGAAACCTAGATAATACGAGAAGAGCACGAAATAATTTGCTGCATCCACCAAACCGCGGATTCAACTAATTAGTTTTTACGGGAAACAGGCGAGCGAGCGAGCGCAGGGGGGGGGCATATAGACTGTCACGATGACCGTCATGCAGGAAGAGCTCTTCATTTGTCAAGTTTCGTCGCGTATCAGCGCTGCTTCATTATGCGTATGCCACTCAGCCACTCGCCGTACAACTGCGTCTCTCGTTTCTCTCTCTCTCTCTCTCTCTCTCTCTCTCTCTCTCTCTCTTTCTCTATTTCGTTTTCTCTGTATCGTTCTCCCGTTTACTCTCTCTTTCTCTCTCGCTCTCTCTCTCTCTCTCTCTCTCTCTCTCTCTCTCTCTCTCTCTCTCTCTGTCGTTCTCTTTCTCTCTTTGCACACACACCCTATTTCTCTGGTTTTCTCTTTCTCTTTCTCTCTCCCCTACATGCACGCTTCGTCGCCACCGTAAATCCCTGTAATTTAGAGTAATGCATTCGGCATTGCACGCATCGGCGATCTACCATAGGGGGAAAACGCGTGTTCTCTCGGCTGAAATTCCGGAGGCCAGGTGTTAATTAATGATCAAGAGTGGCTCACAGCTGCTTGCAGGCGAGGCGCGTGGAAGTCAATGCAATGCGGACATCGAGCAATCACGCCAGCGTGCAATTTTCCAAAGTGCTACCTCCCCCCCCCCACACACACACGTCTAATGGCGCAAAGAGCGCTCGATTCTCATCATGCTCTGAACACGCGCGCGCCTTGTCTCGAGGTAGAAGGAATCTCCTCTCCGAGTTGAAATATTAATTGAGACGTTACGATTGCGAGCGAGAGGTCGGGGGTGAGGGAGGGCGGCATTCCAATACGCGCTTCTCCTCGTCATGAGTGAATAATTAATTCACCGTGTCCGCGCGCTCCCGCGCCGTCCCTCGCATAGATTGTCTTCACTATTACGCTAGTACTACTACGTCAAGGTGAATAATTAACCACCACTAATCACCCCAGTCACAACTTGCACGAAAACTCCCTGTAGCTTGTTCTTCTGATTAATCCGATTTTCTCTACTAGTGAGTAGTAGTGAGACAACGCACATCTTCACACCCGACCCCGCCCCCTGCACCTTGCTTTCCGGATTGGCCAGTGATCACAGTTAATGACTGTTCTTGTGTTTCAGTGACGTGCGGCAGGCAGACGCCGGTGACTACATTTGTGTGGCAGAGAACGTCGTAGGAAGGCGGGAGAGCGCCCCGGCTACGCTGTCTGTGCACGGTAGGCACCAATCCTTACGTCAAGCGCTGGTGAACTATTCTCTACAATAGTTTACATAACACTAAAAGCATATAGATAGTTCGTGTGCTCCTGATAACAGGTGCATACGTAACCGTTTATATGCTCTTTCTGGCAGCCTCAGCTCTCGTACTACTATACTGCTCACTGCCATGTTAACATGACTGTCGACTATGTTAACATGACCGTTGACTATGTTAACATAACTGTCGGCTGTGTTATCATATATTACAGCTGTGTTAGCATGACTGTCGGCTGTGTTAGCATATTACAGCTGTGTTAACATGACTGTCGACTGTGTTGGCATATATTACAGCTGTGTTAACATGACTGTCGACTGTGTTAACATATATTACAGCTGTGTTAATATGACTGTCGACTGTGTTAACATATATTACAGCTGTGTTAACATGACTGTCGACTGTGTTAACATATATTACAGCTGTGTTATCTTGACTATTGTCTCAGCAGGCCTGTCGGCCGTGGTAGTTCGCTTGTTCAGGGGGCGCGTCGGTTAATTATACGTAAATGGGGTTGTGTGCAGTCGAATAAGTTTATTAATCGTGGTTGCATGAAGCTTACTATAAACGCTTGAGTGAACCTGATTAGTGACTTCGAATATTCGTAATTGTGATCACGCTAATTACATAAATTAGGGCCATATAATCATGCAAATTTATTACCGTTGGTAAATGTACTGAAACCCCATAACGTGTGTGTGTGTGACTGTAGCTTTCAACTTCAACATGACCCCCCGACTTCAGCTTCCTTCTTCCCCCATCTCTCTGAACTCCCAACGCGCAATACCCGCAGTTCAAACTCTCTGCAGGTCTTTCTCTCTTTCTTTCTTTCTTTCTCTCTCTTTCTCTCTCTCTCTCTCTCTCTCTCTCTCTCTCTCTCTCTCTGCGTGCGTGTGTGCGTGCGTGCGTGCGTACGTGTGTATGTATGTGGGCGGGTTTGTTGATTCTAAAGCACTCTGTCATGTGTCCTAATGCGAACTGCTTGTTCGAAATTTTCCTCCGATTCGCCGCATTCGAAAATTTCCATTGCCAGATACATCGTATCTCAGGAGCTTTATAGGCGCGCTATTTGCTGGTAACTTTGTTACCAGTTGGTTGCAACGTGTTTGCCTCTCTGTGCCCCTATGTACGTACTCGTGTTGTGTTTTTGTGGTGCGTAGTTCAGTACATGCATTAAGCGCTATACTCGTCTTGCTTCTGGGTTTCGTGTGATTGATCCGTGCGTTGCGTGGACGGCGCGTGGTTTGCGTGCAGACGGGAAGGAACCTGACGCATTCCTCTGCCGAGCGCCCGCTGTAACGCGACTCTTGTTTTTGCCGCCGCTTTTTCCCGTGTTTGTGAAAAAGAACGGCTCCGGTTCGGATCCGGTATCTCGGAGAGGAGGAAAAACACGCGAGCTTCTCTCGGCGACGCCGGTCGTCGTCTCGCTGCGGATGCTGCGCTGGAGAGATTCACTGCTGATTGTTCATGACCGTCGCTCGCTCCCTGCCTCTGTCGCTCTGACCTCTCTCTCTCTCTCTCTCTCTCTCTCGTTGTTTCTCCCTGTCTCT